TCTTATTTTCAAAAAAGAAAAAAATATATAGAATTAAGCAAGATTTATTGACAATTATAGTGAAGGTTACAGTACCATAGGTTTGATTGTAACAGAATCAGATTAAAATAGTATAGTATTTTGCTTAACGAAGCCTCCAAGAATACTGTTTTTGGACATTAAACACCAGATCATTTAAAAATTCAGCTTTATTTCTTGAACAAAAGTTAAGAACCTAATTAAGAAACCTAGTTAGCCTAATTTTACACTAAATACCATTTATATAAGAACCTGTTTAGGCTAACTTGGAAAAACCTAGGTTCTTATACGCGGGTTTTTACTGTACTTGGGGTACCTCCTGCAGGTACTAGCAGGGTTCGCACCCTTTTGAGCTCTTCAAATTCCATAACTTGCCATTAGTTTTTCCATGACCGTAGGTTTAGCTGTCACTTTCGAAAATTTTCAAAACTTTCCTTGTTTTAGCATATTTTGTTCACCTTAAACAGTTCAACAGAAAAAAACTCTGGTATCCACTAAAATGCGTGACATTCGTGCTGTTTCATTACTCCTCTTTATCTTACATTATAATTATTGCTTTGTCATCTGCAGTAACTAATATACCAAACAAAATTTTAATTATTCATGACTTTCAAGGACCAAAAAGTAAATTCCATGAATTTCCAGGCCTTGCAAATGAAATTCTTAAATTCCATAACTCTACAGGTTTTCCATGACCTGTATCAACCAGCCTGCAGATCATGAAGAACCAACACAAACAAACAAAACAAGGAGATCCAAAATACAACTCTCGAGGAGGGTGGGTACTCCCCAAACGGTGGTGCTTGTTAGAGACCTTGATCAAGACCCCTAACTCTGCCCCCTCTCCAAAAAACAAAATTTTTTCATGGTTAGGCTACTAGCGAGCTCGGCGCAACCACAACAACAGTGGAAGTAAGAAAATAAGCAAAGCAAAAACTCTGAAAGTGCAGTAAACTTTTTGGTCAAACATTACTAAAATGGCAATGTGATCATCGCTTTATCTCTAAGATCATCGCTTCATTAATGGTGATTGTCACACAAATAAAAAGATATCCCGCCACTTTCCCAGTTTTTCCTGCATACAGAGCAAACTATAACACATTAATTTTAGTAAAACTACAAAAAATCGATACAATAAATTATTAAGAGGACTTGCATTGTGAATATCGATTATTGATATTAAACGATTAATTTTTATCGAATATATTGATTATATTGATTGGTTTCCTATGATCGATTGTTATCGATTGGGCACGCCTGAAGAATTGGTGGTCCCGTATCCAGTAAGAGCCGTAGAAACAGTTTTCTCAATTATTAATATCGTGCTAGGCACATTGAAAATTAATGAACTAAAAATGAAGAGGGCTTTTTTTAATAAATTATTTTCTTACAGTACCTACGACTCCGGCCAAAACTGACTTGAAAGCGCAGTTTTCCATAGCTCTTTCTACCATCAGTTCCTGCGGTGTTCTAATCACATTTGGAAGTCCAACAGAGGGAACAAATGGAGGTCTACGTTTCCTTACTTCTTGTACAGCTGGAATGATCGAGCTTAGCGGCATTTCGTCATTGGGAAATGAAAAGTTTTGATACTCTTCGGCCTTTGGAGGGTCCGCCATGTTGGATTAATGGTATCGTTCCAGACCTCTACGGACGAACTCAAACCCGGAAGTCTGGATTCACTGACGTGTCTTTTGTAATACAACAAGAGCTCTGGCAAGATGGCGTACCAAACATTTCAGCAAGAATACTTGCAAATGCCGGTGGTTACACGGACATATGCGACTGCTTGTGTAGTTACAACACTTGCAGTGGTAAGGAAATTTTTTGGATTGAAATTTGACTGATTTGACTGCATAATACTAGGGAAAAAGATTTGTTTACATGCAACTGCGAGTGTCTCCATGTCCAGCATTCTGTGCCATCTGTTTTAAAAGAACTTTTTTTTGTTTTTGTCGTTAGCAACTTGAGCTGATAACGCCCTTTCAGCTATATTTCAACCCTGAGCTTATATTTCAAAGATTTCAGGTAGGTATTTTCGTAGGTAACAATATTACCTTCTTGCAGTATAAGAATATATTTAGAGGGAAAAAATTTACTATGCATAAAATATTCGCAATATCACATTCACGTTTTAAATCTCAGTACAATCAGCATTAATAAATATTGATATACGTATTGTGCATACAATTATTAGCAGAAAGCTTATTCACTGGGTTAAATTTTCTTTAAAAAGAGGTGAAGAATCATGAAAAAAAATGTGAGATTTTCAAAGTTTTTTCAATATTAACATTTTTTAAATTTTTGTTTTCCTTCCTTTTTTCAGTTTTGGAGACTGATAACAAATTTCCTGTTCTTTGGGACAATTGGATTCAACTTCTTCTTCAACATGATTTTCACGTATCCTTTAGAATCTATTAATGTTCACCCATGCATTTTCAGTAATAATGTATGCACACTCTGTTTATTCAGGAACCCATAA